AATATGATAGATATGCAAAAGATATCTAGTATTTTTAGTATATTCTAGTATCTTTAAATATCTAGCAGGTATAATGAATAATTATCAAGTACAATATAGACAACAAGTATAAAGTTGGATAATAAGTCCAAAGCTGGCTAAATTATATTAGATATAAAAAGTATAAAAATAAGATGACAATATAAAAATAGGGAAATCAAGGAAGATAGGCACTGCGCACTAAATAGGCTATCTATCTTGAAAGTATTACGAAACAAAGGAGTGACCACGCAGGAGGTTGGCAGTTACGACGCACAATCGACGGATCAACCTGCGTCATTGTTAAACTCGAGCCAAATATACACATCTCTTTTGAGGAGAAACCATTTTCCAACGTAGTACGGCGTAGACAGAACAAAAGTGACAGACTCGCCGTATTTCACCGTAACAATATTATATATATTGTATATTTGAAAGGTCTTCTTCACTTGTAGGGAAATCTTGCATCTGCTCTTTTTGACAAGTTTTTTTTTCTTTTTTATTTAACTAAAGGTTTGCTTTTATTTCATTTTTTTTATATTTTCTTCTTCAAAGTATATGGATTCATTATGGAAGATGCAGTAGTTATTGAATATGCTTTATAGGTTAACTGTAATGAACAGAAAATATTTTGTGGACCACCTTTATTGCATTGTATTTTTTACTTGTTTTTCTAGTTTCTTCAGATCTTATTTTCATTCAAGGATTTATTGATACTTGTGCTGAGTTTGATACAAGTAGAGAATTGGATTACTTAAGCATTTGCATCCATATTGTATAACCTAGGTACTGAACTTATCAGTAGCTAAAAAATACTTCTTTCTATATGTGTATACTAGATTTTTATACTGATTGATCAAAATATAATTTCAAAAAAAAAAGATTAATAAAGCAGCAAAAAGTTTTTCTTTCATTGTTCTAAGCTTGAAGATATTATTGAGCAAAACATTATAAATATAAAAAGATCCTTTTTATTTTGACTTCAACTTTTCTGTAAAGTGTTTATTTCTGGTGATATTATATATTAATATTTTATCTTTGATTTTAAATCTATTATACTTGGTTACTTTTTGGTCAAATTTTTGTTTTTGTTTTTATTGTTTTTTGTAAATATTTCTTTTTATCTATTCTTATTGTTATAGTTCTTTTAATAAAGTATACAATTGGTTAAGAAATGTTGGTTACAATTTTTCATTTATATTTGTTATATGTATTTGAGGTTTTTGTCTATAAAGTAAATAAAATAGTATCATTTTTTTACAAAAAATTGTTTTGATATTCTATAAACAAAAAGTATTGGTAAAATGTGTTGGTCCCAATTTTCTTTGCCTTTAGTTAACTTTGTAAGTAACTTATATAAAGTTTTGTTAAATTGTTTAATTAACTTATTGATTTGAAAATGATATTGTATGGATAATAAATGTTTTATCTCAAATTGCTTAAGTAATCCATCTATTATTTCATTATGAAAATAAATTTCTCTATTAGATAGGATTTGTTTTAAACATCTATGTCTACAGATAATGACTTGATAGATAAAAAAATAATAAAGTAAAATTTTTTTAAAATATAATTGTAAATTAAAAAATTTGATATATATTTTTTTGAATATAAAGCCATTTATTTTCTTTTTCTATATAATAATTATAATTTTTTTTTATTAAAAAAATATAATATCAATTGTATTTAATATCAATCAATTTTATAAATTTATAAAAAATTTATTTTATTTGTTAATATTATAAAAAACAATTTTTTTTTTTAGAAAAAAAATTCATAAATCAAATTAGATTTATTAATTTAAAAATTTATAGTATATGATTAATAAAATACTATGATTTTTAAATGTCAAATAAATAAAAAATTTAAAATGTTTTTTGAAATTTATTGTAAATTATAATTTATTTAAATTTTATCAGATTAAGGTTTTTTTTTATCTTGAAATTTTTTTTCAATATATAAAATTGATTTAAAATTGTGTATTATAAACTGTATATTCTATTGTATATAGTATACACTTTAAAAAATATATGCTGTATAAAAATTGAAAATACTTAAAAACACTTAAAGAGTTATATATTTATTTTACCAAGTTCCATTTTGAAGCTATATTTATAATTATTTTTTTAAAAAATCATATTTAATTATCGAAACAGCTTATAATTTATCATTAATTAAAGATACAGTAAAATAGAAACTTTTATTCAAAATTTTACTATTTAAATTTCGTTTTACCTATTAGTATAAAATATTTAAATAACTATAGAGGAATTGTAATATTTTTTCCCGATTTTGTATGGTTTTTTAAAAAAGTAAAATAAAGAAATAAAATTTCAATTACAATCTTTATTATTATTATTATTTATTTATTTTGCAACATGCTGCATGTATAATTTGTCTTTGCGTGTATTTTTTTTTTTTTTAGAAAATAGTATTACGAAACTTTAATAATAAAGAAGGATTTTAATGAGAGATAAATATTTGTTAGAATATGTGGTTTGCTTTTTTAAAATAAATTAATTAAACTGATAAAATTATCAAACATATTGCAAACACTAATCTAATACAAATTTTTCATAACAATTCAATTTTAAAAATTACCGAACACGTATATATGTTAGTATCTTATTAATGCCATAAAAATGGACTTTTTTATTGAACACTTGGGATAAAAGTTCATCAAAGATTTTAGGTTAAGGGTATAGTATAAGAATATTAGTGAAAAACGCGTGATAGTTTTTAAGATATTAAAACCAGGATCTATTTATTATTATTTATGGAGTATAATCATTGAGTAGTTTGTAGAGTCAAAGTTTCCATGCAAATGCAATCACTTCGTCAACGAAATTATACTTTCAATACAATGTTTAATTTCTAGAATTATTATTCAATTACCATGCAGAATGGAGAGTTTAATAATAATAAAATGACTAAATTGTTTCGAAAATTAACAGAAATTAATAATGACATCTAGGTAATTGGATAAATTCGAATAATCACTATACTAATGAGGAATTACATTTGGTGATCGCATTACAAAACCTTGGTTCTCCATGAAAGAAATTAACTGTGCACAATCAACAATGTTTATACAATAAATCGACAACTTATCTAATATATCCAAGAAATTTACATGAAGAATAATTAAAGGATAACTGAGAATATCAAGGAAATGATTACAGAACAAATGACAGCCACCTATCTCTTAAGTTTTGTAGCGTTCTTGTTGCAATGAAAGTAATGTCACCATATTATTGTCATTATAAATGAACGCAATGAAAGTGAGAGACAACTAAAATGACCTGGTGACATTCATTACGCGAGTAACGTTAATGAGCATTTTCGATGCGATCAAATAAAATATTCAAAGTCATCCTCGTAATCATCAAAACTTTTTGTTTCCTGAGCATCAACTACTACAGACGGTTTCGGTTCTTAAATGATGAAATGATTATCAGAAATCAGCATACGAAACACGAGATGATTCATCAAAGTGATACATAAGTAATTACTTTTTTTCTTTGTTTTCAAAGCATCCTTCTGAGCTTTTTTCTCATTTGCCAAGGTTGTCAATGTGTTGGCTACTTTACGAATCTCGGCATCCTTGAGAGATGAACACAGGTCACGCACAAATACGTTGATGAAATTCGAGTATGGCGCTTGATTCTGTTTTGTTAAATTTGATCATCATTATAATTGCTAATAAGACGAGAGGCGTAGCATCGTGTAAGTCCCGACCAACCTCGTGTCTCTTGATCCGTTTAATCAATAGTGAAGAAAATTCGTCAAATTCATCTCTGGTTTTGGGATTTATCATATCCAGTGCGGAATGTTCCTTCTCTACATGTAATTAATGTGATTTATTAAAATTTCAAAAGATTATTTTTGCTAAAATCTTTGTTTTCTACGAACCATCAATACTCAAACCTTTGGTCATTTCTACAGTATTGTCGATCTTTTTCCCCAGTGCATCCGATTCATCTTTGTCATGGTTATGATTCTTTGTCGTAACAATTCTAACAATTAGTCAATTGTGACAATTATGCAATGAATTAGTTATTCCGTTTACCTTTCGTTCGGCTGCCTGTCGTTCTGCTATCTTTTGAGCGATAGATTTCTTGGGAGCTGCTCCTGTTTTTGGCGCATCTTCTTCATCGGAAGATGATTCCAAATCCCATGAATCCTAACATGTAATCTTTTTTTAGGACATGTTTTTTTCAGAAGAAAAAAAAAATAGCAGTTCTATCATTTCCAAGTTAATGTCAACATTTTATCGATAAAAACCTTTATATCTTCTTCTTCAATGTCTTCGCCGTCCCAATTTTTTTTTGAAGCAATTGAAATATTAGGAACAACATCACCCGAGTTGCCTTCTATAAGGTAGGAAAAAAGTATGATTAAAAAAAAAATTAGGACAGATTTTTATATCTTTTTTGAAGATCAAAATCTAAAGATGAATACCCCATTCTTCGTCCATGACGATTACTTTAAATGTTTCGTACGAAAACTATATTGAATGAAATAAAAGGAATGATCACGCCAAATTACAAGGGTGACAAAGATATTGTATATGTCGACCAATCAATTTTTGTACTACAACAGCCAACACAGGTGTTAAATCTCATAGAAACACAGCCTTGCAGAAATTTCCAGTACATTCTCGAAGAAATCCAATTCCTTTACTGTTTTCTCTGAATAGACGATTTAATAACCAAAATATGCATCTATTTAAGTCATCAGTCTGTTTACACAAAAAATTAGAATAATATTCTCAGCACGCAACCGGACAAGGAAAAACTTCGAACGCCTTAACAGATTTACTGCGTACAGTAAATTTTTAATATAAATATATTACCTTTTGTGTTGTACGTGTATGATACGAAATTGCAGTACGCATGCAATACTCAAAATGGGTAATTTGATGGGTAAATCATACATTCTACATATTTCTACTGTATATTGTTTAAGGTAAGGAAACTGACGCGTAAAAAGAGCAAAATCAGAAGTCAATCAATAACGTGATGCAAACTAGAATGTAAATTTACCTCCACTGATGTTAAACACAAATGGGTGCTCTGATAAACTCGTTCAGAAATCCGCCAAATTCTGACACCGCCGGAATAAACAATGCGGATATGAAATATGCATAGAAAAACTGAAGCTCCGAGTTCTTGTTGAAATTTTCGAGCGACACGTCAACAATAGTGATTGTGTTCCCTTTTGGGGTTAATTCGAGTGAGCTAAATCAAGTTCCAATTCATACATCATAGATCACATTGATAAAGAGACTAAGAAATGATGAGACTTTTAATCTATCTCCAGTTTTTCGATGTGTATGCAATTTAAAAAACACGTTGAGTGTCATGCATGTGATAGCAACACAAGAATCAGTCACGAATTTACTAGGATTGAAAGAAAAACAAAACTATAAATAAAAAAGGAATATGATAAGCAAAAATTACTTGGTTAATTAGATTTGTAAACAAATATACATATTACAGGGCGCTCTAAAAAACAAACGACTATCGCGTAAGTTTTATTTTATTTATCTAAAAAAAATTATTTGAATAAAACATTTTTGTTCATGAAAAAGCAAAATTCTCTAATCTTGATTATACATTATGATGCAATAAAAATAATTTAATGGTTGAATCAATTAATCTAAAGGTAATCTTCCTTGACAGTTAAAGAAAAAAAAAACCGCATTCTTCCATTCGACCATACGTACGATTTAATCAAAGCTTTACATCCCATTCGCTTCTCCATTCATTTTCTCATTTTCATCATCATCAAGTTGATTTACCAACAATTCGTTCAGTTGAAAACCGTTTCCAGAATTACGATCTAACAATTTCACCTGCCCTTCATTAATCATTCTGTCATCATCGTGGCTAGCTGAACTACCCCGTGAATCATTTGTAGGTAGCGGGATATGTGGTATATTTCGCGAATGCATCATTGTGTCACCTATGGCGATATCATACTTGGATTCACCGTCATTATCGCCCGATAGCCAATACAGATCAATCTGGAGATGACTGTAGATAAAAACTAGGAATGCTATGGTGGAGTAAACTAATGCGTACGAAAATGGGTCAATATCTCGCTGTTCGAGGAAGGCTACTTGCTCTTCGTTAGAACCCATAAAGAGTAAACCCGAAAGAATTAGAAGCTAACAAAATGAACACATGAGTTACCATTATAAATAAAAGACGATTTTGACAAGCATTAAAAGATTTTGTGATGATATTTAATTCCTTCGTTCACTCACATAGGGACTCAAATGATGCAGGGGAGTTATCGTTTTACGGTTTCCAAGGAAAGTAATCTCAATAATTCTCACAATTCCGGCGCTCACAAGTGTCATTCCAAAAATTGCGTGAATTTTAGTCGAGAATTCCGACGACTGAGCATGAGATCCCATCGCGAAACCAGTAAATATGACCACGAGAGCCGGTATTATGGTTCGTTTACCTTTTCTCGACAGATAGACTCCTGCCGTTCCTCCTGCCCACCACATTAGTCCTAGTGCAGTGTGCTATCATCAATTTACGTTAGCCAATAAACTTTAATATATTTCAAGAACTTACAAAGTAGCATACCTGTAAATCTTTATGACTCCATGGCTTTTGTAAAAGACGATCGAAATGTGTTACTAAGTTAAATAATGAACTCAAAAGATCATACTTTAATATTATACTCGGATTTACTTACTGAACCAAATCTAAAAAGAATTTCAAAAAAAAAAAAGAGAGAATCTTTAATTCAACAAATATAACGAAATTTAGGCTCAATTAAAGTTGCCAATCCCTCCCGAATGACTTGCCTGTGTTCCGTAAATGTGTTTACTAAACCCCAAAGCATGATGGTCCAACTATCATAATAATCCTGAGATTTTCTTTTCCGACGTAGAAATGCGACACCAAGCCTCATCATTATTATTAACACCATTCCATATCCAATGAACGATGATCCCTAAAGAAAAAGGGTAATACAATTTTATATCCTTGTTATAAAAAAACATTAAATACGATTCCCTCCTACCATTATAAAGTGCGCAAGACACTGTCCGAGATGATCACCTCTGAAAATAAGTTGCACAAGTAGAAATTAACTCAAATGTGTAGACAATTAATTGGTTTACGCAGGATAATTTGAGATCCTAACCTGCACCACCCATTCGCAACAATTGCACCAAAAACGATCTGTATGTAACTGACGACCGGAATGACAATACCAAAGATCTTGTGAAATTTAACTAACATAGGCCTCAGCCATCTGGGCCCTCGCTCCAAATGTAATTTTAGGAACATTCCAATTCCAATTTGGGCCAATAGTAGAAGCACAACGTAGGATGCAAATGAGCTATGAATGTTTTCCTCGAACTCCCGGCCCCCATGAGCGTGACCAAGGAAATAACCTATTGTTGCTAAAGACGTCCCTAGTATCTGTACGGGTACATGCCATCGTGACTTGCTAAGGCCCAACACCATGCCTTTGGTTTACTGTGTTGTCAGTAAATTTGTTGAATATTCATGAATATAACTAGCTTACAACATACCAGTTGGAAACAGTATACCAAAGGCCAAGGTCATGAAAATTATATGAGCCCAAAGAATTCCATCGATCGGTTCCGATGTGATTCCAGAGCCTAACGTAGAGTTTCCGGTAGAATGATGATGTTCATGCGCTTTGACGAGGTGGCCGATCAAAATGAGCAATGTTAACGAACATCCAGATTTTTTAAGGACTTCCATCTCGGTAATCCGATTAAATAAAACAAAATAAAACTTTCAAGAATCTAAAAATGATTGAAGCATGTGTAGTTTGGAAATTTTATATGTAAACAATTATGGCTATAACGAGGCTAAAAATTTAACTCCTAAATGTTCATTGGTTACTATAGGGAGTACGTTTATATAGTTACAAATATGGTAACACACGAGCCTGTGTATGCACAGCCGGAACTTTGTAACATCACATTAAAAATAATATAAATATACTGTGTATCGCTAGGGGTGCTGTCTTTTGCTTTAAATAACCAATTGTTTCTGGTTCTGGCTTATTTATTTGTCGGCAGTGGGGAATATGGGCAATTATCTTTGAAGTTAAAGAAATGTTAAATAAGACTTCTCAGCCCCCAGATTTTTTAAAATAATACGTATAAATTGCAAATTTTAGGATCCTTTGAAATAATTACCTATATCTAGAATGTCACAAAGGTCACAGCGTTTACGCACTTTCATGTATTTCTTATCAAAACTATAGAGCCGCGAAATCATAATCATGCTAATGTCCAATCATCATGCCCAGTGATAAATGAATACTCAATCGATAAAACATCAAGAAAAAAAGATCTCACACAATAACAAGAGCTTTTGTATAAATGATACCGGAACTATAAGCTTTTCAGCAATGTTAGATCAGGACTTAACTTTGAATGCAAGAGGCTTTTGCAAATAACCTTACCAAATAAATCTTTGTTAGATATAAGATATTCTTAGTACTGATGTTTCAAGCAAAAATTTTTATATTGATAAACTGATAAAGAGTTTGTTTTTTTATCTAATAAAAAACTTAATAATATGATATATAACGATCTTACAAGTTTTTGAATAAAGTCACTTGTATAATTGTATGTTTTTAATTAATAAGTACAGTATAAAGATAAAAAACTTCTCAAACAAAGTTTTATACTTTCAGTATTAATTTATTATCAACAATCTTTTTATAGATTTTAATAATTTCAAATACAAACTTCATTTTAGATTGGAGTCATCTTTCTAGTTGAAAATAATGTTTATTATGATTTTTTTCAAAGTGAAATATCTTAAAATGAATCAAAGTTCATATTTTGAAATGAAAAATTTTAAATTATAATAATGATTTGCTTGATTAAAATCAAATTTTGATTGATTAAATAATTTATTAGAAAAAATTTTTTTAAAAAATAATATTTATATACTATATATATTTAATATTAAGCTATTTGTTAAATGTTATTAGAAATATAAAAATATCATAAATTAAATTTTTATAAATTACAAAATATCAAAAAAAAAACTCATACCCATTCACCACTGATTTTTGAAAATTTTTTTATTAAAAAATCTTTTTTCAAGAAGTGTTTTTCTCTTCTTATTTTTTTAAGACAAATAAGCTTTAAATCCAAAAACATAAAGACTTTAAGGAACACTGTTGTATTGGAATGGAACCTTTGGTTAAGACTTAAGCAAATTAAAAGTCTTCTTTAGTTTTTAGTTGCATGGAAAAGAATCAGTGGCAATCTTTTTTTATAATTTGTAATTTTTAAATACCTTCCTCTTTTATGATTATAATAATCATTTTTTTTTATTATTTATTTCATTATAACACAAATATAATCTTAATAATATATTTAAACAAAATTATTGAATCTAATATTTGTCTTAATACAATCTTTACAAAATTATTATTTTTTTCTTTATTCAAAACCAATATTATGTCTTATTTTTCTATTTTTTTCAAATTTACTTAAAAATTATAATCAGTTTTACTTATCCAAGAATTTACACTTAACAAACAATTAATAAAATTTTTTTACTTCTTAAAACAAAATCAAATCTGTTTAAAGCTATTCATAATCATTTTTTTAACAAAAAAATATCTATATTTAACAATAATAATAATAATAATAATAACAATAACAAAATAATTAACTAATAATTTATTAAATTGTGAGAACATAAAACTTGTACTTTTTATGAGTTCCAATAATCTTTTACTCTATATGCATTCAAATAATACAATAAGCAATTGGAGCAGGCTCCAGTTATTAAACTCACTTATATCTTAAATACAATACTCTTTTATTAAACATATAACCACTTTTTATTATTTTAACAATAGAATTATAATTCATGAACAGCAATGCTATTATTAAAGAAAAAAATAGCTAAAGTCTAATTAATATAAATAAAAGTAAAGTATTTTATTATAAATAAAAATGAAATACCAAAAAGTTGTATCTTATAATCTAATAGTTTAAGTCAATATTTTTCTATTGCTATTAAAATTATATCCAATTATTGAAACGAAAATAGTAATCTAGATAGACACATTTAATTTATACCTTGTAAAAGAAATTATTAATTTAAAGATAATATGTTTTTAAATCTTAATATACATTATCACTTCAAATTTTTTTTATTTATAAAATATTAATTATATATTTTATTTATATATAAATTATTATATATTTTTTTAATATTTTTTCCTTTATAATCAAACTTTTATTATTATTTTTATAATTGGTGATTTTGCTTGAAATTTTTTTTTATTTTTTATTTTTTTATTACAAATAATTTCAGTTTTTCTTTTTTAAAGTTTTTTCAATGATATATCTGTTTATAATAACAAATTAATATATATTAATATATATTTTATTCTTTATTAATTTTGTATATAATATAATATAATTATTATATTTTAATTAATAAAGATAATTATAATTAAATTCTTAAAAATTAAATTGATTATAATTCCATAATTTCATAATATAATATATGTATAATATAATACAAAAAATTTTAAATTAACTTAAAAATTTATATTATTAGATATATATGTATACACATATTTTTATAAAAAATAACAAAAAATTTTTCTCATAAATAAATTAATATATATGTATTATATATGTATATAAAAACAATTAAATTTAATTAGAATATATATATATAAATAAAACTTTGAATTTTTTTAATAATTATAAAATTAAAACAAATTAAAAAAAAAATTATATAATTCAAATTAGTATATCAAATTTTATAATATTAATTGAATATAAATTTTAAGATATTTTTTATAAGTATTTTAAAAACAATATTTTGTTATTTTTTTTATAGTAACATGATTATATCTAAAAAAAATTTAATTAAATAATTTAAAGCTAATAATAATAAAATTTTAAATTTTAAAAAATTTATTTGATATATAGATAAAAATAGATTTTGAAATTAAAAATAAAATATATTTTAAATATTTGCTATTGTTAAAAAAAATTATATTCTAATTAAAATAATAAGCAAATAATTATGTATATTTTTTTAAAAAATATAAAATTTTATATATTAAATATTTTTGAAACCTATTTCTATACATAGACTTATATATTAGATAGAAATTTATTTATAAATACATATTAAAAGTTAATTGATTTAAATAAATTTTGAATAGATTGTATATATTATTGAATATAAATTGTTTAATAAAAAATAATATATTTAATACTTTATTATTTTAATTAATAAAATATGTACTTTTATAAAAAATTATTTTTTAAAAATAAAATTTTTAAAAAAAAATTATTCTATTATGTTAACATATATGGTTTATAAGAGCCTTATTCTTGAAATATATTTATATCGTTTTATATACGCAATTTTGTATTTCTTATAATGAAAAAAATATAAAAATAGAAATTCAAGGTCTCGTGAACAACAATAGAGTGCAAACTTGTAAGAATGCATATGTACGTTGCGTATGTACGACTTTTTTTTTTTGCCGTTTTTGGCAGGTATTTGCAATTGTATAACCATAAATAGATAATTTTTGTACTATACGAAGTCAAATTTCCTTCCTTCGGAGTGTCCGATAAACTTTACATGTATTAATATGAGTGAAGTTAGCGGACAACCTTCTTCAATAAAGGGTGGGCCCGATAAACGACTGAGTAGAATTTCGTCTCCAGGGCCCTCGAGTGATGATGATTTAGCTTACCAATACGCACTTCGTGTTGCATATTTGGCTTATTTAACTCAACCGAAAGTACCGAAGGCTACGCTCACCCCATCACCAACCCCCGTCAAACCTTTGTCTGATTCTAGCTTAAAGCGTCAAAGCGTTGTCGCACCCGCAACCATACAATCTGCTGTTACTTCTCATTTTTCGGCAATCGGTGACTTGTTCAAAGATTCCGATAAGAAAGGTCATAAGAATCAAAAATTTCCAAAGGAGCTGATAAAAGTACTAAGAGATAGACTTGAATTTATCGTGTCTGGCCGCGATCCTAATCCAATTTATAAAGATCGCTATTTTAAGAATGATCTCGCCGTTTTTTATCAAGCTTTGCAACAGCCAGGGTTTCGTCAGCAATTTAAAACGAATAATAGTAAAATCGAAGATATTGTCCTTATATTTCTTAAAACATCCCAGAGCGAACTCAGAAGGGCTCAATTACCACAAAATGTAACATGGCAGAGCAAGCTAACTGAACACGTTAGCCAATTTGTTGGTATATTAAAATGGTGTCTTCAAACTAAAGAATGTAATACTGCTTCGACACCTGAATTATTGGCCAGACTTGAAATTTATCAAACCAAAATGTCAAGTCCACCATCTACCGGAGGAGGGAGTACAAACGAGAATGCCAGCGATAACATAGATGACATGGCCATGGTAAAATTGGTTCTTTCTATTTTCAAAGTCCCCACCAATCAAGCTCAGAAAGACATTAGCGCATTAAAGAAAAATTGTACGCTTCAAGTGAGTGATATAAATTAATTTTTATCGTTCCATTGGTGATTTCATTTGTGATGTTTTTTTATTCGTTAGGCTGCATTGGAAGATATGCGAAATATTATAAATCACATAAACCGAGGTTCATCTTTTCCTGCGTGCAAGGAAGATTTCAAAACTGAAGAGGTCTATCAAAATTGGAAATCTATTGAATTAAAGACAGTTCGCGAGCTTATGTCTTCTTTAATTATGTTCACTCCGGGACTAAAATTAAATGAACCAACAGAATCATCAAATTCCCTTAATGACGAGAATTCTAAAAGAACCTCTCAGTACGCCGGCCGAAGAACATATGCGACAGAAACACCGCAAGATGCATTTAGTAAATATGAACAACAACGCCAACTTGAAATGCAACAAAAACGTCAGCTCGAACAAAAACAGCGTCAGAATCAGCAATATCAATCACAACAATCATACCCACCATATAATTCGTCACAACAACCATACCCACCATATAATTCGTCACAACAACCATACCCACCATATAATTCGTCACAACAACCGTACCCACCATATAATCCGTCACAGCAACCGTACCCTCCTTACAATCCGTCACAGCAACCGTATCCTCCATACAATTACAATTCTTCACAACAACCATATCCTCCATACAACCCTTCGCAACAGCCATATCCTCCCTACAACCCGTCGCAACAATCACGCCCTTACAACATTCCACCCTCGTTGCAGCCTTCATATGTTCCGAGTCCATCCATAGAATCGAAAGAAATTTTGCAAGCAAAAGAGGTATTTCATATAGGATTTTTTTTTATTTTCAAAAAAAAAATCAAATTAAATTTGTTAAAATGACTTAATAATTTGCAAACAGTCAAGTGAAGGTGGTACGTTTACTTTTATCCCACTACATCCTCGAAGGTGCTATAAGATACTACTGAATAAATCTATAGAATATGAGATACTTAGTGGGCTACCTTCAGAGAATTCGGATAAAATTCTTTCTAAAAATGTAATGCAATTACTGAACGAGTGTGCTCTTCGCTGGAGGGTATCACCAGGGTTTCGGTGGTTGCAATATTTGGATATTCTCAGGACCTACTATGACAATGAGCATCCGGCAATTTCCTTGGATCACATCAAGGAGGGGATGATTTTGCTGAAGGATGCCATCAAAAAGCGAGAAGTTTCTACTTGGACTATTAGTGACGTTCGTCAAGTCTATTTAAGTTACGAACGTTTGCTTATTAAAACGAGAATTTTGAAGAATCTAATTCATGAATTTTCTTTCATAATTTACATAGCGAATTGAACTTGTGGAAGTGTATTCAGGTGTTCATGACTCATTGCTAAATCTCACGCGTGAAGCACTTGAACATATTTATAAGATTAAGCCAAGTCAGTTTGACCCGATAGCTCAAGTGTTGAATCTTGTTTATGAGTCGGAGCTGTTTCGTGAAAAATTTTCCGATATTTCGAAATTTTATAACGACCTTCGAGAAATTGTCGGGGTATGCACAGTGCGTCTACTTCTAACTTTGTGTTAAATTAATATTATGTTAATATTTGCCCCTACAAATTAAAATCAATTAAAAGAAAGTTTCGGTTGAAATTTATCAAACAAAAAGAGAAGAAATATTTTCTAAGCAGACCGCGAATGAGGTGCAAACCTTGAATTTATTGGCACAATGGATTCAACAGGAGATTGAAAAGATGAGCAAAAAATTCCCGAGGCCAATAATTGAGTTAGTATTTTTTATTTCATTTAGATTCGGTATATTTGTAGTAATATTAATTTTAACATTCACCTAAATTTGGTGGGTATAGTCAGATCGATGTTGTGCGTCTAATAATTGAAAAGCAAGTTCCACTTCTGACCTTAGATATGGAAAATGCATCGGCGGATATCACGAGCAAGGTCAAAATGACACCGGAAGAGGGTATTCCCGTCGAGGACATCTTTGATCTTTACCGAGAGATTCTCGTACTTAAAACAGTATTCGAGGAACGTTGTCCTGAGTACGCATTCATTTAATAAATATTTGTTATTATTACACCGGGACACATTCAAAAATTCCTTGCTAACTCAACGAGTTATCACATAGTACCAAGTTTACGTTAGGAATTCAGGATTGGTTTGGACCACACGTTAAAATGTGGTTAGAATCCACCAAGAGTAAAACTTCAGATTGGGTCATGACGGCAATCAATGTGGACGAGGTTCGACATATGCTTAATCAATTCCATATTCAACTTTAATCACAAATTTATGATAATGTTATATTATTTCAGTTTAAAGCCGTAAGCACAACGGATGCACACTCATCCTCTGTGGTAGATCTTTTTACATCCTTCAACCAAACCGTGGACTTTATCAAAAAACTGAATTGGCCAAACAAAAATCAGTCTGCGCTCTACATGACCAGCTTGTCGGGGGTAAATTTATTATTTGAACAGGTCATTTATCAATTGATATATCGATAACAATCTTATTACAAATGCAGGCCATCAGTGAAGCGTTAGAAAAATACTGTGAATCTATTGAAGACCGTTTTAGGAAGGACATACTTCCCGATGATGAAGCAGGACAGGCAACCGCAAAACAATCTGCTTGGTACATAAAAGCCAAGACTGCCATAGCATCTGAAAAAACCATGCCCAGTGATATAAAACCATCGGTAAATAAACCATTTAACTTTGAAGTTGAAATATTGAGTTTGTCTTTCTCATTCTTTAATGATGTCTCAACTTCATTTTAGTCTTGCATCATGCTAAATAATATCGAGGCGGCTCGCGAGCAGTTGGATAAATTGTACGAGGTGATGGAGGTGGACGCTTTGGTGTCAATCTTGCATAAATCAGAAAACGAACCGGAAAGTGAAGCGAAGAACAAATATTTGTACACGATCAAGATTGTGCTAGCAGAAGACTTGTTGGCATTGGATAACAATGGACTTAGTGATCCATATTGTGTTTTGACCGATGAACTAGGAAATCGTTTGGTCGAAACACGTGTGATATACGAAACTCTAGATCCGAGATGGGAAGAGGCGTTTGATATTACTATCGAAGCTTCAGAAAACAATATAAGGAAGTTGGGAGTTACCGTATGGGATAAGGATCAAGTTGGTTCCGATGACGTATGCGGAAAAGCCGGCATCTACCTGGATCCCAAACATTTCGACGACTTTTTAACTCACGACGTCTGGCTTGATCTAGACACTCAAGGTCGGGTTTTACTTAGAATAAGTATGGAAGGAGAGAAGGATGATATCCGATTTTATTTTGGAAAAGCTTTTAGAACGCTCAAACGTGCTCACGACGATATGGCCAGGACCATAATTGATAGGGTAAGACTTTTTGGTGGAGGATTATCTAAATCGCGGTATTTGGTACTCAATATTTTTATGAATTTTGCTAAAAAAAAAATTAGATGTCACCATTTTTGAGTCAGTGCCTATCTCGCGATGTTATTACAAAACTGTTGAAACCAACGGCTTCCAATAGTTTTACACAATTTTTCAAAGATTTGGATAAAAGCAAGAAAACGGAACTTAACGATCGTGAGGTTGAAACTGCTATAGACCCATTATTTGATTATTTCGACACAAACTTAATGACTCTTAGCAATCACCTATATCCTGAAGTCTTCACCATGGTCATGAGTCGTGTCTGGAAGAAAATAGAATTAGTGATCGAATCGTTAATCTTACCACCTTTGTCGGATTACCCTTCGGACATGAAACCGCTTACAGACAGCGAGATCGATGTTGTTTACAAATGGCTCAAGGTATGTTGATTTTATGTTAATGAAATCTCTTTCCGTAAGTTATCTCAATATCAACAAGAATTTTTTTATCAAACATTTCAGTTTTTGAGACAATACCTTCATGCTGATGGGAATGGGGTGTCCCTGGAAGTACTCGAAAATGCAAAATATCACGAAATCTTTAGAATACAAATGTTTTATGATAATGACTCTGAAGGTCTTATGCAAGAGTATCTTCGTTTACAAATTGAAAATGCTATTTCTCCTAAGAAAAAATCACTTCACTTGAATAAGTCTGTGTTGAATCAACGAAATCTTGGTACAATTAAAAAGCGTAAGAATGAAAAACGTAATAAAAATACGCACGATGATGGAGATCTAATACTTAGAATTTTGAGAATGCGACCGGGAACCAAAGGATTTTTGAAACAACAAATGGAAGAAAGAAGCAAGAGGCTGGCAGCCGCTTCAAGTGATATTATTACTCACGATGAAGTGCCACCTGTTCCATCCGTACGAAATTCGGTTGCTCAATAATAGGATCAAATTAAATGCGCGTATGCATTTCTCCTTTTTATCACTCATCTTAGTTTACTTTTTTGATTGACTCATTTTTTTTCTGTCACATTATAACAACGAATGGGGCGTTTGGGAATTGTGTGTTAGAACTCTGAGACTTTTAATTTCGTCATACTAAATGTTTCGGCATTATCCTCAAACATCTGGTTTTTATATTTATCAGTTTGTATATATATCATAAAATTGTCCTGTATTTCTACGTATATAATAATAAAGTATGTTATAGGATGTAATATTTCAATAATGGAACGCGACAAATGACTTATTATCGAACGACCAATATTTAAATGTCATCAATAACCACTACAATTAATTAAGAACAAAAATTATTTGGTCGAGCAGCTTTAATTTGTTTTGTGAAAGTGTTACTCTTAGTGCTACCATTTTGATAAAAGATAAAAGGCATTAAAAAATTTGGAACAAATTAGTATTCACAAAATCCTGTTGTTTACGTGAATCAATATCTGCTTAATTTATTATGTATAATATAATTCACGTATTGCTAATTCAAATAAACTGTCAAAAAATCACAAAAGGAATTATTTTTTTCTCTTGTAAATCTTGTTCATAAAAGAAACAAAAACTTCTTTCTTCAAAATGGATTCATCCAGTTTATCGATTAACCCATTTATGCGTACAAACGATTCTTCTTCATACTCTTTGTACTTTCCTTCTATGTTAAGTTGCCTGTAAATTTCTTTGACTGCGGCTACATTCTCTGAATTTTTCTTTCCATAATTTTCCTGTTTAAAGCAAAATTGAAATGAGCACAACCATTTAACATTCATTTATCTTTTAAGTAAACTTGAATTACTCACGTCCAAAATTTTTCTCTGCTCTGAAGTCGCTAATGTCATTGCCTTGTTGACACACCAAGAACATTTGTTATCCTCAATGTCCGTTCCGATTTTTCCAATTACCTCTGGAAGGCCAAAACAATCAAGATAGTCATCCTAAGGACGGAGGGTAAACGAACTGATAAGTTTTAATACTTGCTTTTCGAAATTTTAAAGTAAATGTCACCTGAATTTGAAAATATTCTCCTAGTGGCAACAAGATATCTTTTGCTTGTTGGAATGCAGCAACATCCTTGATTCCTGCCTAAAAATTGTATTTAATTTACTTTATTATATACTGTACTGTATATAATATATTTACATATATATATAATTTGAAAAGATCACTAGTCATAATTGGAGATAACTTACCATATGCATTGCCAGTGCCACCGGTAGGTAAAATGAATAAAAAGCTGTTTTATATAGTACAATGGTCTTATACCTAATGATTCGCGCATTTAAGTGTAAACTTCCGTGAAATTCATTTGCCATTTAATATGATAACTTACTTTTCCATGGAGAACCTATTCAAATCGACTTTATCCTCAGGTGCTGTAATCAAATCTAGCAGTTGTCCTAACTCAGTTTCCAGGGTGATCTAACAAAAACAGAAGGCACACACAAAGAAAAAGAAGTTCAAATGCTGAAGTTCAGTTTTTTGGTCAATAACATACGCATATGTACGTATATTTACCTCGTGAAATAAGTCTACCAGATCGATATAGTAGTGATCTTGACGAAAATACTTCTTTAAAAAGAAATAGATTCCAGACTCCAAGATAAAGCTGTCATTAATAGCAATAGCTCCTACTCCTTCCTGAACCGATTAGACAAATTAACAGTGATTATCAAAGTTTAAATAACTTTTTGAACTATCAAAAACTTACCATTTTATACCAACATGGGTTCCCACGACGAGTAATTGAAGAATCCATGATATCATCTGCGACAAGGAAAAAAGCTTGTAACTGGAAAAAATAAACAAATCAAATAAGCGTTTTTCCTGTTGATCCAATAATGTTCTGCGTTGTGTTAACTTTACCCATTCAACACACCAACCGAGGACTCTCGCTTTGAAAATTTCTTCCTCTGTAACCTTTCCCTCCTTTAAAATCTTGAGCGTATCGATCACAGACAAACCTCGATTCATTTTTCCTATATCATCACACATATAGATGTCATGCAAATGATGGTTAATTAAATGGTTGATAGGTCAGCGATAAAATTCTTGAATAGTGAAGCGAATATTGATAGATTACCACCAGGAACATTATGATATATATTCTATACGCAAATAATGAATTTAATTTCAAGGTATAAATACGATGCTAAATTAAAGATAAAAAACGCACTTTTCTAATCCATTCGATGGATTCATGAGGAAAGTGACGTGTTTTAATTGAATTCACAAATTCTTCAGCAAGAGTCTTGAAAACATCTTCAAATTCTTTCTTGGCAATTTCCTTTGCGTCCGAGGAAGTCATTTCATAAGATTATTACGTCTACTATTATAAGTTCTGGAACAAATTCTGGAGTAAACTGAATTTTTTGTAAACAGGCCAAACTGAATTTAAAAGAGAAAAAAAAACAAATGTAGCACGGAGTGTGAATTGTTTAAGGTAAGAATGATAAGCAAAAAATATATAATCTTCATTTGTCATTCCAAGTACGGTAAGTATAGTACATGTAAAATGTAAAATTATTATTACCTCAAGTGGAAATTAGCATTAAGTACAGAATACTACTACTATACTTACTATACTTACTATACTTAATGTACATTTATCAAATTTTTACATGGTTAGATTCTTATGTAATTACATAAAGTACATAACCACATGCTATCACACTTACATTCGCAGTTGATCTCCAAAAATTTTGGACAATGCCTCTAATTATTTTACTGTCTTAAAATTCATGAATTTTGACGTGATTATTAATAAAAAAATTACTATTAGTGAATTATGACGTAGTGCTTGATTAAGTTAAATTTCAATTACATGGGAGTGTTCTCCATGCAGCATTTATACGGGTTTGTGCTACGCATTTTGCATTGTTTTCAGCTTGCAATTATTAGAAAGACCAGAGATCTCATCTTTATACAACCTAACTTAATTTAATAGATAATTTTTAGTTGATTTGATATGACATGTATTGAAAGCTGGTCAATCAATCATAAAGATGATAAGTTTTTGTAACCAGATGAGTTTGAATCCTAGACCTTCTTTTGGTGATCTATTAAGTATTACCACTATACTATAGACCCATAGGTCTACTTAAAATAACTTTTTTTAAATTATATAATTAAATTTTTTTATATTAATTAAAATTATAAAATTTTTATTAAAGTTAAATCAAAAGTAATTTATATATAATTTTTTGTTTTAATTTGGTTTTAATTTTATAAATATTAAAAAAAAAATTATTATTATTTTAATTTTAATTTTGATATTTAATTTTAATATATATAACAAAACTAGTAAGCTT